CTCCAAGATAGATGTTGCTTCAGCATTATTTAATTTCAGGGGAGAGCTTTAGAGTTGATACTGTTGTCCTCTCTGCTTTGGAGCACAAAACGTGAGATGCTCCTTGCTTGATTGCCAAGAATGAATTTGAGATGTTGGGATGTAGTATGACCATTGCCACAATGGTAATTTTGTTGTTAACAGCCACTGGGCAGTAACATTGCTCTGTCCCTGCGTCTTTTTGAACAGCACATTATACAGAAAGTTAAATGTTACAGGCATTGGAGTCTTTAAAGATGCTCATTTTAGGCATTAAAAAGTGATTTCAGCCCCAGACTCTTGACTGCCTAATGACTTCTTAAAGCTTTCGGTTTCAATATCAGTTAATCTTGGAAATGTTTTCTGCATCATTGGACATTCGTGCTAAAATGAACTGCATTAAAACAGCACTGAGCTATCTTCAGGAAAAGAGATAGTATGTTTTTCCTAATGAGGTTGGAAGTATAAAAGGGGTTGAGGATTTTGAAGTATATGGGGAATAAGAGTGGCTTGCTTTTTGAGTTTTGGGGCTTAGAAAGCATGGGAGTTTCACTATCCCTTGACTTTGCATTGGAAGTTTCCAAAAGAATGTTATTTTCTTGGTATAGCTGTATTATTTTGGCTTAGTGGTGTATCATTGTTTCTTAGGTTCAGTTCCCTGGTCTGTAAAATAGGAAAAATGGTATCCTATCTTTCATACCAGCATGCAATTAAATATGTTAATGTTTCCACCAAATTAAAAGTTTTGCTTGGCTAGGAATTTAATAGTGACCACGTTCTTATTTACTTTTCCTGCTTCTTTTCAATTACCAACGTATTAGCAATCCATACCAGCTCACGCAGCATTGCAATTATATTTGAGCTAAATGCGAAGTATAAAGAAGCAAGATTTAATGAACTCCAATCCTCTCAAAATTGTGCTTTTTAATGATACACTCTTTCCTTTTGCAAATGGGGAACAGCAACTCATCAGTTAAGAGTGGGGATAGAATCATTCTTTTGGTGATGATGATGTTATCCATTCAGTTGTGTCTGACTCTTGGCGATTCTAAGGGCCAGGTCTCACCACATCTTCCAATCTTGCACTACTTTTTTTTTTTTTTTTTTGAGTTGTTCTGTGTTCTGGCAGGTGTCAGCTTTGATAGTGTCCAGCCACCGTGTTCTTTGGTGGCCTGGTTTCCTTTTACTGCTAACTTTTCCCAACATAACTGCTTTCTCCAGTCCCAAAGGTGCTTTTTCAGGAGGCAACTGGACTTTCTTGTTTTTTTTCTTTGAAGACGTTTCACTTCTCATCCAAGAAGCTTCTTCAGCTCTGACATGATAGTGTGGAATGGAATGATTTATATTCCTTGCAGACAGCTGGTCATTTGCATCCTTTTAGAGCAGGGGTCCCCAACCGCCGGTCCGCGGACCGGTACCGGTCCGCGGAACAAGTCTTACCGGGCCGCTGGTTGCTGGGCGCCGCCATCTTTTTTTGGTAAAAAAGTGCTTCCGGTGAGCTTTTCCGGGTAGAAAGCCATTTCTACCCGAAAAAGCTCACCGGAAGCGCTGGTGCCGCCATCTTTTTCGTCAAAAAAAGATGGCGGCGCCCAGCTGATGCCGGTACCGGGCTGCGGCGTCAAAAAGGTTGGGGATCACTGTTTTAGAGGGCATCCTGCAGTGCAAGAGGTTGGACTAGAAGACCTCTAAGATCCCTTCCAACTCTGTTATTCTGTTCTGTTATTCATGCATCTATTTTATACAAAGCTTCCAAGTTACCTAGATACGATTGAAAGTAATACTATTACATTTCCCAACTGTGTCTTTTCCAGACAATTAAGTAATTATTGAATTAAAGGCGTGGAAGAGAAACTGAGATACTATTTCTTTGTACGCTCAGTAGGATGATATACTATATTACACTAATGTTGGAATGCTATATACTTTTCATTTTTACATATAATGCATGAATTCTGTGCTCTTAATTGCATTTTAATGACAGGGGAAGTGGGAACAGGAATCCTGGAACTCATAACAATTTATTCCCCAGCTTCAATTAAAGAGCAATTTTTGCCAAGTCTCATATCAAAAATCGCAGAGTATTTCCCCCCCATTTCCTTTTCCAATATATAGAAAACTGGGTGAAGAGACTGTTTTCTACACTGCTTTTAAGCTTAAAAGCAACTGCTTTTGTGGCAAAATAATATTTGTGGTAAAATAATATTTTGGATGAAGATGGTCTCAGGTTCAGTTTCCTGACTCTCCAAGTATGGATGGAAAATCCTGAAGACTGTGAATGCTCCAACACTGGAGGTTTTTAAGAAGAGATTGGTCAACAATTTGTCTGAAGTGGTGTAGGGCAGGGGTGTCAAACTGGATTTCTTCGAGGGCTGGATCAGCATTGTAGTTCTCCACGGGCGGGCTGGCGGGAGGAGGAGAAAGGAAGGACGCCTCTTGCAGCACCCAAAATGGGCCTGCTGGGGGGGGGCGTGCATGGCCTCCCGTACCCCATTTTTGGCTGGTAGAGTGCTGCAGGAGGGCCCCCCCCCCCGTGCCCTGTTTTAGCTGCCAGAGGCACCGTGGGCCAGTCTTTTGCTATTTCCAGGCCTGATATAAGCACCCCGCGGGCCAGATCTGGCTTGTGGGCCTTGAGAGTGAAACCCCTGGTGTAGGGTTTCCTGCCTGAGTAAGGGGTTGGACTAGAAGGCCACCAATTCTATTCTGTTATTCTGTTACTGTAGATGGTTATCTTTTAGACAACAGAAGTGTGCAAAATTTGTCAGTCATGGATCAGAATGTTCCATTCCCCTCCAGACTATCAAATCTCTTCCAAGTCATTTTGTTCTGGAGATAATTGGTGGCTTCCAGAAACAAATCCTCTAAACCAGAAGGGGCTTGAGATGTTTTAGATATGATATTTGGATGAAAGAGACTGTTGGGAGCTGGATCATCTATCAGATCACCTTGAATTCAGATGATTGACATCTGAACTCTCCTTCTCATCACCCCCTCGACCTGGAAGGGTATGGTCTGGAGACAAGCAGATTTCTCAGAAAATAAGTAGAATGTTCTTTTCGAACGGTTGCAGCAACTGGGCTTGGCTAATCTAGTAAAGAGAAGGACCGGGGGAGAGATGATAGCAGTCTTCCAATATTTGAGGGGCTGCCACAGGGAGGAAGGGGTCAAGCTATTTTCTAAAGCGCTTGTAGGCCAGACAAGGAATAATGGATGGAAACTGAACAAGGAGAGATTTAACCTGGAAACAAGGAGAAACTTTCTGACAGTGAGAACAATCAACCAATGGAACAGAAGTTGCCCTCGGAAGTTGTGGGAGCACCATCACTTGAGACTTTCAAGAAGAGATTGGACTGCCATCTGTCAGAAATGGTGTAGGGTCTCCCGCTTGGCAGGGGGTTGGACTAGATGACCTACAAGTTCCCTTCCAACTCTAATTATCTGTTATCCTGGACTAATTAATTTTGCACATCTCTATTAAGCAGTAATTTAGTGTGCAAAGAACAACTTCCTGTGATCTATATTACTTAAGTCATGGATGCATTAATTTTCTGGGAGAGTTTCGAGATGTTGGATATTAATTGCATAGCAGAGTTAAGGGCTCATGAGATCAGAATCTACGGGGCTGCCACAAAGAAGAGGGAATCAACCTATTATTCAAAACTCCTATAAACAGAACAAGAAGCCGTGGATAGAAATTCATCAAGGAGAGGATCAACCAAGAACTAAGGAGAAATTTCCTGACAGTGGCAACAGTTACTCAGTGGAACAACTTGCCTCCAGAAATTGTGGATGCTCCAACACCAGAGGTTTTCCAGAAGAGATTAAACAACCATTTGTCTAAAATAGTATAGGATTTCCTACTTGAGGGTTGGACTGCAAGACCTTCAAGGTCCCTTCCAACTCTGTTATTCTGAATAACCAATAAGTGGGTGTGGGTCAAAGCAAAAAGAGAATTTAAAAAGTGCATTTTATTTAAAAAAAAGTTTAATCTTATTCACAAGTCAATTCCCTTCTGTATTTTGCCACTTCTACTTTATCCTGCAACCGTTAAGTTGAATTGCATTGTACTTACCAAGTATCAGCAATCACTGAGAAGCTGCCTGGATGTTGAATGAAAAGTCTTTGGGGGCTGGTACTGAAACTTGCACGCCATTATTTCAGTGCTGTATCTAATGCAATTGACAATGAGATCTTCTTTCTGCACTAGCTCCTTCCCTGCACTCACATATTTTCCGTAACATAAGACTGCAGAGATAATTTTTGTATATCTACTATCATTCTACCTCATGATGCATTCGCTCAGACAAGTCCTTCCCTCCATATCAATCATCTCTCGTCTTGCATGTCACAAATGCGCTGTGTAATCTTTTGCTGTCTTTGTTGTCATTTCTTTGTAGGCTTATCACTTCCTCCTTTGCCTAGTACTCGACAGATTAATAAGTTTCAGTGATCCTTCATTGTTGTTTTTTTCTTGTTACATAGTCAGTTCACCATCTCATTCATGCTTGTATCTCTTTTGATTTCTTGTAAGTTGAAACTGCAAAACTTATATATATATTTTTTTTTCTTAAGTTTTCGCAGGTACTTACATGTATGGTATTCAGCTTTGTTCAGGTATTTTCCCATGTTATTATAGTTGTGCTTTTAAAGTTGTAGCAACGTTTCGGCAGAATCTCATCTGCCATCATCAGGCTTCTGTATTGTGTTTGTCTGTCCACAGATGAACACAATACAGAAGCCTGATGATGGCAGATGAGATTCTGCCGAAACGTTGCTACAACTTTAAAAGCACAACTACAATGACGTGGGAAAATACCCGAACAAAGCTGAATGCCATACATGTAAGTACCCGCGAAAACTTCAGAAAACATATGTATGTATGTATGTATGTATGTATGTATGTATGTATGTATGTATATGTATATGTATATGTATATGTATATGTATATGTATGTGTCAGTAACACTAATCTCTTTCTACCACAGTTATTCCACTCTTATCCTCCTGCTGTGTCTGGGATCCCTCCTATGATACCTCCAACTGGTCCTTTCGGCTCACTGCAAGGAGCGTTTCAACCCAAGGTAAACTTACACTCTATAAAAGGTAAAGGTTCCCCTCGCACATACGTGCTAATCGTTTCTGCCTCTAGGGGGCAGTGCTCATCTCTGTTACAAAGCCGAAGAACCAGCACTGTCTGAAAACGTCTCCGTGGTCATGTGGCCGGCATGAGTAAATGTTGAAGGTGCACGTAACGCTTTTACCTTCCCACCAAAGTGGTCCCTATTTTTCTACTTGCATTTTTACATGCTTTTGAACTGCTAGGTTGGCAGTTCTACAATTACACAGGAAGAGGTAAGATATGGGGCAAATTATGAGGTGTCAGTGACCTGCAAATATTTTGAGAGGGAGATTCAAAGCAGAGATGTTATTCATATTGACTTCACCCAACCTGAGATTTGCAGAGATTTTTTTAAAAAGTAGAAATTAACTTGCCCTAACATTTCTTGAGTTCTTTTCAGAGGGGTCTTTAAAACATCTTTGCCTCTTTAAGTTGACTGAGATGGGTAATGGATAATCTTCCTTACCGTGGCCATTTCATGTGTTTGGATATGACTCTTTCCGATGGTTTGAATATTGGATATCCTTGATCTCTCAGTGAATGGGAGGACTCACCCAAAATTGTCTGGAGATTCCCTACAGTTTAGAGGTGGGCTGAATTTGGAAACAAAAAGAAGAGAAGCACTGGTTGGTTTTCAAACTATTTAAGTTGGGGTTTGTTTTAGCCATGGCTTTGCAAACAAACAGTAGTGAATCAATCCACACATATCCTTGTGAAGATTACAAACCAAGCGGCTAGGCTTTCATAACTTATTATGCTAAAAGGAAATAAAATTATAGTTTTGGTGTATGAATTAAATCAGAGGGAAGCCCAAGGTTCCACACTATAAATGCAGGAGTATGAATGAGAAGATGACAACTTAGAAGTAGTGATGAGATCTTCAGACGAGCTTTCAAATTCCAATTACTCTAAACTGTTTATACATCCTTTATATGTCAGATATTTTATTTCTTTGTATGGAATATTTTGTGAGTATGGGTGGTTGGGTGGATGTATATAAAGTGGAAATCTATGTTTTCAGCAGTGTGTTTTAAATCCACACTTTTTCAACATGAATCCACAGTGAAGTTGTGAATCGCTAACAGTGATTCAAGCTGCTTAAATATGTAGATTATGGGTTATTAGCAGAGGCCTTCATATGTATGCTAATCAGTCTGTTAAGAATCCATTTGAGTTAAATCATCCATAGCATTGTAGATGGTTTGTTTTCTGAATATTTTTTTAAGGAAATACTTACTTAACTGAGGATTTTTTCTTGATTTCAGAATTAGTTGCTCTTATGGAAGAACAGTCTTGCAGTTTGTGATTGAGAGGGGAAACGCTTGACTCTCCCCATGCATACATATGTCCATGGGTTGAAAGCATATGCTGTGGTTAGAAATGGGAGAATGGGGCAGGAAAAAATGGAAAAGATCAGCTTTTAAATCTTCATCATTCACACTCTGAAATTCTTCCACTTCAAATCATTCTATATATATCATCAATCATACAGTGTATATTATATACTTATAATATACACTAAAACATACATAAATTAAAACAGGCCAGTTTTCAAAACCTCATCATTGTTCTCAGATGGATTGGAATAATATGGCTCAACTTTCAGCCATTTTCTTTTTTAAAAAAAATAGAAGAATAGAATAGACTAGACTAGACTAGACTAGACTAGACTAGACTAGAATAGACTAGAATAGAATAGACTAGACTAGAATAGAATAGAATAGAATAGAATAGAATAGAATAGAATAGAATA